TTAGAGTTGTTCTGGTCTATGGTAGAAACAACTTCTCACCCTATTTTCTTTGCACCCCTACAACAGGAACCTTTGATTCTCACTTTTATTTCCACACCAAACTCTCACAATCATCATTGAACTCTACCTTGATGGATTTTATTTATTTATTCCTTTTATTTTATTTTACAATACCATTCAGTTCTACATAACAACCACGGATTCCCTTGTTCTCCCCCTTCCTGCCCCTCCCCTTCCCCCCAGTCCATCCCCCATTCCCACCACCTCCAGGGCAAAGCCTCCCCTGAGGACTGAGATCGACCTTTGAAACCTGGGTCTACCTTGATGGATTTTAATATTTAGATTCTACATACAAGTGGATAAACATAATGAGTATAAGAATATATTTACAAATATAAATAATATCAGCTAAGAATAAGTATTTGTCCTGTGTCTGACTTATTTTGCTAAGCACATTGCTCCTTTTCACCTGTGTGAAAACTTTTCACAGACTTTCCTTCTTTTATTAGGTTAAATAATATCCCAGTATTCATGATGTATGTTTTATTTTGTTTGTACATTTTGTTTACACATTCATCTCTTGATACATACCTAGGTTGATTCCTTATTTTTGGTTATTGTGAACACTGCTGCAATAAACATAGTTGTGTAGATATCTCTTTGATATACTGAATATAACTAATTTGAATATAGTTAGGCAGGATCATATAAAAATTTTATTTTTAATAAGCCACATGATTCTGCAAAACAAAGAAATCCTTCATAGAGAAAGGAGACATATAGTATGAGTAAATATTTTATAACTATGCATTTGGAAAAGGGTTAACATCCAAAGTATGTGAGGAACTTGGCAATAAAACAAATAGTTCAATTTCTGAAAGCATAAAAGAAGAGTTTTCTCAACAGGCGTGAGAAAAATGGTCAAAAGGTCTATGAAAAAAGACTAAGCCTTGCTAATCATTAGGGAAATGCAAATTAAATCCATAATGAGCTATCCTCTTTTGCCTGTTAGAATGGCTATTATAAGAAAGACTGAAAAGGACAGATGATAAATGTTGTTTGGGAGGTGAAGAAAATTTTGGCCCTGTTGATGTTTGGAATACAAATTAGTACAGCCATTTTGGAAAATATCACATAAGTTTCTGGAACCTGTAAGCAATCCAAAAAAACCTACTATTTAAAATAAAAGAAAAAAACTAAAATCTATCATATTCCAAGAAAACATTAAAATAAAATTCGCATATATTTCCTTATCTTTTACATATTATCATACAGAAAACCAGTTCCACAAATTTTGGTGAAATTACTGAATGGCAGATTCTTTTTCATAATTTTAATATGCACATAATAATTCATATGTGTACAAAGGAGTTTATAGGTACCTCTATTCTATTTATCTATCTATCTATCTATCTATCTATCTATCTATCAATCGATGTCTATGTAATTTATTTTTCTTTCTGTCTATATCTTCTTAACTCTCTATATATTGATTTCAACTGCATAGTCAACTTATTTATTAAAGAGTTTCAAAAATTCTTCTTGCTAAAGCTGAGTGTGGTTGTCACACCTGTAACCGCAGCATTTAGAAGCTAAAGCAGGAGGATGCCAAGGTCCAGGCCAGGCAGGGGTACACAATATTACTGGAAATTTTAGTGAGTCTCTTCATGGTCAACATATGATAGAAGAGAAGTCAAGGTCTCCTCCCCTCTTGGGCTTCTTAGTCTAATTAATAAAATATTTTCAGAACAGATTCAAATGGAAGCTTGACACAACTTTGCTCGAGTTTAAAAGAAAAAAAATAAACTCAGGGTCAGTCCAGCAAGAAATATTGGCAGCTGTTTGGAGAATTAAACTAGAGAAAAAACAGAGAAAAAGACATGAGTTAAGCCAACATGGAAATCAGTTACATGACAGACAAGTAGACACAAGATGGGGGGAGAAGTTTTTGAGAAGGACTGAAGACCAAAGTGTTAGGAAAACCATACTTAGAAGAGACGGGTTGACAAAAGGAAAATTTAAGCATTTCTGACTAATTCAGAAATACAAGCAGGGTTTGAAAGATTCACTAACAAGACTCTGCAAGGTACTGTGCTAAGGGGACTAGCATTCTGGGAAGAAAATGCAATTATCTCAGTAAAGAGCAAATTATTCCTCTCATCTCTTCATCAAGGTTTAAGGTGAACTCACCTTCCTGTATGGGTGGTACTTTTGGTCGCCAATAGATGAACTCTTAGGAGGAAATTGCTGGGGATGTCTTTCTGTATGCTGTGAATGTGTTGCTCTGATTGATTGATAGATAAATAAAATGCTGTTTGGCCAGTAGCCAGGCAGGAAGTATAGTATAGGCAGGATAAGCAGAGAGGAGAATTCTGGGAAGTGGAAGGCTGAGTCAGGAGATGTTGCCAGTCGCCACTGCCATGAGAAGTAAGATGTAAAGATACAGGTAAGCCATGAGCCATGTGGCAAGGTATAGATTTATAGAAATGGGATAATTTAAGATATAAGAACTAGATAGCAAGAGGCCTGCCATGGCCATACAGTTTACAAGTAATATAAGTCTATGTGTATTTACTTGGGTCTGAGCAGCTGCTGGAGCCGAGTGGACACACACACACACACACACACACACACACACACACACACACACCAAAACAAAAAACTTCAGCAAGAGGAAACAAATGACATCCACATGTGTTCACCCAAAGGTAGATTCCAAGTTTTTTTTTTTTTTTTTTTGGCTAAGAGGGCACAGCTTTCCCTTAATGGGCCTTCAGTGCTATTCTGTTAATAGCATGCATGCCCCTGACTCTACATGAATGAATAAATGCGTGGTATTATTGTATAGAGCCAGCTTTAGGAAGTCTGATTTAATTTTAGAGATAAGAACAGATGTCCTTGTTTGAGGCCCTCAAGATAATAACCTGAGAAAGAAAACGACGTGAAGAACCTTGAAGTTGTCAGCTTCATTCCAAGTGCATTTCAGATTCCTCCTGGCACTAAGTTCAGCACTCTGCCCTTGTTTTCTACTCACATCCTTTTCTAGGTCACACCAAGCCATGTGGTCTCTTTAATTTCCTTTCCCCTCCTTTTTATGTTCCTGTCAGTTCAATTCCTCTCCCCACCATAATGAGGAGGAAGTCTTATTGTCTCCCAGTGTGGTTACTCACTTAGGCCATGCATGTGGGAATGCAAAGGGACATTTTCCTCTCCAATGCATGACAGCTGCATTGTTTTTTGTTTAAGGAAAAGGAACTCTGCCTCTGACAGGTCAGATCTCCTTCTCCTTGTGTCTCTTTCCCTCCCACAGTCAAGTGCGTGCTTTCTCCTTATTCTTGGTGCTTCCTCTGCAGTATACCTGTCTCCTTGCATATAGATCTACAGTCATTATGTTGCAAACATAAACCCTGGTTTCAAAGGGCCTGATCTTTGCTTAGAGTCAAATTAGACAAGGTGACTTTAAGGGAATTCTGGATGTTATAAGCATTTCTTGGAATATTGCCTTCAAAAGATCAGTCACAGCTGTTGCAACGTTTCCCAGAATTCTCTGCCATTCCCCCTCAATTATCTTACCCTGAGCAGTTGTTTTAAAGTTCTCTTTTGAAAAACTGAAAATGATCTTCCTGAATCATATTTTTTTTCCCTTATGGACCCAGCACTGTCTCCAGCAAGCAGAGTCTCTATGGGTTTCTGGCCCTACCTCCTGCTCCATGTGGAAATTGGTATTACTACACTCAATGGGACTCTGCTTCTTTAAATTGGGGGCAGAAGACATAAGGAGTCTCTGAGTCTTTCTTCTTTTAACTGATTTTCATGAGTCTCATATAGAATGAACATTGGAAGAATTAAATTTTCTGCCTAACTCCTTTCATGAGAAGCATCTGCTGTGGAACTTTCTACATGCATGTGATTGCACAAATGCCTTTGCTTTCTCTTCAGTGACCAGTCCCCATCTTGTGTTGTTGTGACCTTGTCCAGCAAACACTCTGTGTTCGACAGCCACTGCCTCCTCAGCTCACTGATCATTCACCATAATCCTTGGCTTCACTGAAGTATTTGTATCCAATCCCTTCTGGCTTCTGTGAAATATGCCTTGCCCTCTTGCCTCATGGGGCACTAATCTTTTTCTTTATCTGCATCTTTGATATGCATTTTTGTCTCTTTCTGGCTCTCTTCTTCCTTGTGATTTTTAAGTATAAATTCTTGGGGTTAGTGAGAGCATGGACCTTAGAAAAAGTCTATGACTGCCATGTTGCTAGATAAGTATAATTCTGTACTTATTTCTAGGTCTTATTCTTTTATTCTCAGAGAAATGTAGCTATGACCACTCATCAAATAAGCCTCTCTTTATAGAAAATGGAGACCATCACAGAAAAACACAGGTGGACACAATACAGAGATTAAGGTGTTGTGAGGATCCCCATCCTGAAAGATACATCTACATCATAGCTCCTGCATCTATGGCTCGGAGATCATCTTCAAAGAAGGGCAGAAAGATTATAAGAGCTAGCATATTAGGAAATCTGTGTGATATACTCTTTCCTAGAGATAGCTACATAAACAAGACCAGATTCACAGACATATTAACATGGTAGGGGATTTCACAGGGCCCCACCACTAGACAAAGAATTACAAGCAATTAATTCTCTTTTACCTTCCTGGGGATGAGTCCTCTTATTGACTTTCTAATGTAGAGTGGTCTGCCTTGAAGCCATGCATACACTAACATCAAAAATGGACTCAACAGGTTGCATATATCTATATATACTTGCATATACACACATATATACACAAATGTTTATTGTATACTAATCAGTGAAAAAGAGGCTAGGAACTTGAGAGTGGGGGTACAGGAAGAGTTTGAAGGAAGATATTTAGGAAAGGTTATAGGGTAGAAACAGCTGAGGAAAAGTGATACAATTCTGTTTCAATTAAAACATATTTTAAGAATAAATAATTAAACACAATAATCTTTAGAGAGCTGCTCTTTTTTCCCACAGGATATTCATAAGCAGATTCTCTTTGGGGAATAACCCAGATGTTGTTTCCATCTTATTCCTGTTTCCACATCTCAGCCTTGGTACTCTGCCAATATGTGCCTGCCAGTCTTGGCTGAGGACTCTGCACCTCAACCTGCTCAAAGGTAAACTTGCCATCTCCATGCCCCGTCCTTCCCTCTTGGTGTCCATCTTCTCCATATAGTAATATCATTTCCATCCTCCAAGTTCTTTCTGATTTCTTCTTCTAATTTCTTTCCAACCACATGTGTGTTTAAAAGCCACAGTGATTGGTGAGTCGGTTTTGTCACCATTCTGTAGTTGACTCAGCCTTTGCCTATCACCCATGCATGGATTCTCATTATGTGATGATGGATTCATAAAATCTTAAAAAACGCATCCACATACAGACTCCTGTTCTGTTACTTTTCACACTTTCACACTTCTTTGTAACTTTTGTGGTTGTGTTTCTCCTTCACTGAGTATGTGTAGCTGGCTGGGCATGATGGGAAGGTGTATTTAGTTAACAGGGAACTTAAGGAGCTACTGTTAATAGTAGTTAATCATAATTTTGTTACTTATAGGCAAAAAGGGTCAAGGAAGATACAGGAGGAAGACATGATGCAACATAGACCCTGGCTCAAAGCTTGTCTTTAAAAGCTACCTTCTTCTGGGTGGAGATGTTTACATTCTTCAAATGTTCATTTGTTGAATACTTCTTCCCCAGTGCAGAAAGGGTACTTTGATTATGTTAGTAAGGGTGAGGTTGCTCTCAGAATGGACTGAGGTATCATGTTCTTGAAATTCCAGAGGTGTGAACTAAATAGACTTACTCTCTTTCCAGCGGTATTTTGTTATAACAGCAGACATCAAGACCATGGTGAGTCTGTGATGAGGGTCTAGAGACTTCCTCTAGCCCTGACAATCATCACTGCAGCCAGTGACTGAGGCTCTGAGCATGGCCTTCCTAGTGTCTCCTTCAATGATGAGTCTGAGCAGCTTACCCCAGTGAACCGCAGAGTCTATACCGGAGTCCTATGTGGCCTGTTATTGGATATCTTTAATTCAGCATTCATGAGCACATTGGCCTGGTGCAAATCCCCTTACTGTGTCACTTTTTTAAGTCTGTATAGTGAAAGCCTTGGCTGTCATCATGTTGAGTTATTCAGTGTTCCCTCTACATGACACATACTTTTTCATCTCTGTGATTTGCTCATGATTGCCTATTTTGCTAAAACTCCCTATTCAATCACTCCTGTTTCGCAAAACACACCCAGATTTTCAAAGTGCAGTTCATATGACACTGTGTACACAATCTTTCCTGGTAGTCCATGCTTGAAATAGCATTTCTTTAATTTGTTCTCCAGATAAACTTCTACTTCAATGAAATGATAACAGCATGACTTCCTTTTCATGTCACCATTATTCCTTTTTGCCATTATTACCTGTTTATTTACATTATGTCCACTCACCACATCATGTTAAGTAATGTTCAGACTCCGTCTTCCTCTCTGTTTTAGTTACTTGTTTTTGTTAGGCTGTGACAAACACCTGACAAAGCAACAGAGGAAAAGTTGAATTTCCTTTAGCTCATAGCCCATTAAACTCGATTACAGCATTTTAGGACGTCCCTAGCCTAAAGATCCAAATTTTAGCTCCTCATACAAAGAATTCCCAAAGGCCTAAGAACAACACACAAGTTTATCACAACCATACTCTCACTGTTTAGTAATTTTCCATATTAGTGACTTTTCTTATTTCTGTGATCAAAAAACTCTACCAAAATAACCTAAGAAGGCAGAGTTGATTTTGGAACACATTTAAGGGTACAGTGTACTATGACAGGAACAGCATGGTAGTAGGAATTGGAATAACTGGTCACATTACAGAGTAAAGCCGAGACAAATCAAGGCTCATGCTTTGCTTGCCTTCTCCTTTTTCTTCTGTCTGAAAACACAGCCTAGGGAGCACCCTCTATACACTTTAAGGGAGTCTTCAAACCTCAGTCAAACCTCCCAGGAAATGCCTATATAGACCGGCCCAGAAGTCTGTTTCTTAGGTAATTCTAATTCTGTCATGTTGAAAATAAAGATTAATCTTTACACTGATCTATTATCATAACGTCCTTGACTATAGCCTGACATAAATTTGGAATTCTCAGAGAGATCCAGCCTTTGCTTTGGGTCCAGGTGCCAATGAATAGTACTTTTCTGAATGGTCAAATAGATGCATAGTATCAGGAAATGTGTCACAAAGCAGACTTCTGTTCTGCTACTGGCCTGGCATAGAAAGTAATCATTGACAGTCTACTGAGAAATTCTATGACACGAGTGGATGCCATACGTTAAGTCTTCAGCTTCCCACAGCATTGTACACATTCTTCAGTCTTCATACAAACACTCAGCATTCCTTTAGTGATAAAATTAGAAGGAGTCCAGATGAGCCCTGCCTTTGTCAAAAGGAAAGAAATGTGTCCCACTACTAAAGTTAAGTTTCCATACTCATATCCCATGGTCCCTTAATCAATAAGAATAGAAAAATTTGGAAAAACCATACATTTAAAAACAGGCATGTAGAATATCAGAGTGCAGAATATTTCTAGTTTAATGAATTAAAATATCTTTTCAACTTGTAACTTTAAGATTTGAATGATCTTGATTAGAGGATCCTTGGAGTCCCCTTCAAAGGATAAATACTAGCTCAGGCTCCTGGTTACAATGAACAAATTTAATTTGAGAAAATCTGTTGTACTTGCCTTTGCTTTTAAGCTCACAAGCTCCTCTGAGAATGAAAGCTTAGAATATGCTACATAAGATGTTAAAATTATTAAGTAACAAGGATTCATGTGGAATAGAATATGTAGGGGAAAATGAGCTTGAAAGAGGATAGATCCAAGTTAAGCATTAGTAAGTGTGCTTTCTACTGGGAAGTGGGAAAGAGTATGTGTCAATTATGCATTGCTAACATCATTACAGCGATAAGCTTACTCAGGTTTGTACTATTGTAAAATTCAACAAATAGGTTATTTTTATGTGCAGGGAATTACAGCATTTCACAAGGTTCCTCTGTACAAATTTATCTTTAAAATTGTTTTTGACCTTTTGGAATATTTTTCCGTCTCCTCAAGAAACAGAGTGTTTTTCCCCAAATGGACTTTGATTTTTAGTTCTTCCTTCAAAGCACAATAGATGACTTTAAATTGGCCAAGTGCTAAAAATTTTCTTAAATTGTCTTAAAATGGGAGTAAGGCTTCTATTTCTGATGAGGAATAATGGGTATATGCTACCATACTTGGTTGTGGCTTGCTGCCCAATAATTTTTCTATTGTCAAATTAGGTGTCATTAGGTGATATTGAGGTGTGGGGAGCTTTAAAAGTTATGGCGGAGTAGGGCATTCTGCAATCATGAGTTTCCAACCTCATGCATGAATTAATGTTGGTCTTGGAGAATGAATTAGTTGTCTTAGGAGCAGTTGCTATAAAACAATATTAGTCCATGTGTTTTGTAACTCCTGCATTCATCTGAGTCCCTTTTCAGCTCCTCCTTGTGGTCCTTCTAGGAGAAACCTTTTGCTCGAACAATGGTTGCATGCTTTTTGGAATTATCATTTGTCATAATCATAAACCAAACTATTATGTTTACTTATAAATACCTCAGTCTCAGGAATTTTTTCAGTAACACAAAGCAGATTGAGAAAACACACACACACACACATACACACACACACACAGACAAACATATGTATATTATAGCTATAAAAATATAATGTAGAATTTGCTTTGCTCTAACCTTGTCCTTCTGGCTTTGAAGGACATAATCTTGTCTTAATCTTATCAGCCAAAAACACATCTTGTTTTCTCTTTTGTCCCTTTTCTACAGTCCATGTTCCATAAGGTAAACATGTATTTTTGCTTTGCTCTTTGGTGTTATTTTTATTTTCTATGTTTTCCTTACAAGTTGGTTGTCACTATGTAGACTAGTTTTAGTTTCTCCTTATTTTTTTCTGTAGTTGATGAAATGAAAGATATGCTACTCAGGATCCAAAATAGAAGAACCATATAGAAACAATTGCTTGTTGTGAGTGAAGAGCACAGTCTTCCAAATCAGCCAGGTGTAACTAATAGATATTCTATGACATGGGCTGTCATGCCCTTCATGGCCTGGGAAATGACCTGGGACAATGGGAATGAAGAAATGGTAAACATATACACAGAAAAGCCAGAATTCGGTGGGTCATGTGCTCTGATAGAGATGTCTGGAAAAAGCACATTCATGACAGTTGAATGGAGGTTGGATTATACAGTTAAATGAGGAGGAGGCTTATTACATATAGCTTAATAAGGAGTTGGACTTATTACATAAAGCTGAATGAATATGAGGTTTATTCTATATAGATGAATGAGGAGGTAGATGTATTATATATAATTGAATGAGGAGGTGGGTTTATTATATATAGCCGAATGGGGAGGTGGTTTTATCAAATACAGCTGAATGAGTAGGTAGGTTTATTATATTCAGCTGAATGAGGTGACAGGTTAACTTGTCTCAGTAGCGGAATCTCTTTAGGGGAACTGTTTCAGGCTGCAGTCATTTTGGAGGAGGAAACTGTGATTGATATGTCTTGCATACAGTGTCATCCATGGGAAGACCTTGCCATTTCCATGTGCTTAAGGCCTTGGAATCCTTGACATTGCCATACTCTGTCAACTGCTCCCATAATGAACAAACAAGATGTGACATCAGACACAAAAATGTCTGACTGGATTTGATAACTGTTTCCAGTACCTGGGAAGTAGGATTGGGATGGGCGAAAACTCAGGTGTCTGGTGCTCTTCTTCATAAACCCTTTAATATGGTTTTGATCATATAAGCAGTAAAGGTATTTGCATTTAGTCAAGGGTAGGGCACATGAGGACATGGAAAGGTAACTTTATTGAGACTTACTTTGTGTCTTTGGCATTTCAAATCATCATCATTCTGTTTGGATACTCATGAACTTTTGGTGCTGCCCACGAATTTGAGTACACATCTCTGAAAAGAGTTAAGGTGATAGACACAACTACTACTTGAGCCATTGCAACACTGGAGAGCTAGCAGAAGCTCATAAAACATGGAAACTACCGAACATCACATAGTCCAACTATGT